GTGCTATTTGTTCTTCTGATCCTATTGTCAAGGGTGGTATGCATTTCCCTTTTCCATATGAGAAGACTGTAAAACAATTTACTTTGGCTTGGTATATTTTTTCTGTTCCCAAAGTATTTCCTTTCATTTAAGTTCAAAAATTCTTTACCGAATTTATGGAAATTTCAAAGACCCTTCGGAACAGGATACGACACTCTATGTACACCTGATAAATATTTATTATCCCTAGTGCTTATTGTTACAGGTTCAGTTAACAGGGATGTGCCCCTTCAGATCTTGGTACCCCCTACAAGGCCGGGAGCGGAGGAAGGGCTGGGGGTGACGGGCTCACACTACGGAGACAGTGGGGGGTAGGGGAGTAACCTATCCTCTTTCTGAGGCCCACATCCAGTTTTAGATTCCAGCCTGAAAGGCTAAGGCTGGGACCCTGGGGTGGGGGACGTTTGAGGAAATAAGGCTAAGAGCTGTGCTCATTCTCTGTGTCAAGTAGCCCTCAGCTGTCCCTGAGAGGCTGGGACACACTAGAATATTAGCAACACACTCAAATATTAACTCATTTAATCCTCGTAACAAGTCTAGGTAGTAGCTACACTATTATTAACCTCATTTTACAGATAAGGCAACTGAGGTACAGAGAGGCTAAATGACTTGTCCATACAACTAGTAAGTGGTAGAGCTGGATTCAGAACCGGCTAGCTGATTTCAGTGTCTGTTCTTCATCACTACCCACACTACCTCTCTGGGTTTATGTTCTTTTCTGAACTATTCAGGCATGGTGTCGAGCTAAAGAATTTTTTTGTAATATTCTAAGCTGCCATTTTTGGTGACTAGTTAGGCTGAGAAACCTCCATTAATTTGGATCCATGTTAGATTCGCTAAGAGTCTTCATCTTGCCTACAGGTTTCTTCGCACCTACTGAAGAAATGTGTTCTTTGCAGCCTGAGAGGCATCATATTCACCCAGTTCTCGGGAAGGAAGGTAAGTCCCTAGCACCACCCTGTGTGAAGGGAAAGGCTCCAAGCACTGTCCACTGTTGAGAAAGTGAGCACAAGAAAAGCAATAAAGTCTAGAAAACTGGACGACAGGCAAAAATCTCAATTGCCTTTACCAGGCACAGGGTAGCCCCTTCTGCAAGACAGTGGCCCAGGGTCATTCTTCCGGCTGCTAGTGCAGACAGTGTCCCAGGCCCAGGAGCTACCTGCCTCCTTGGCAGATAAGCCTCTGGTTTTCCATTTGAAAACCACAAATATTATCACTCAGAGGAATGTCTGAGGTCAGTTGCCTGAATCCTTTCCATTGACAGGTGAAGAAAACTGAGGTCAACTTTTGGAGACCAGACACGTGTCATGCAGGGGAAAAAGAAACTGAGATGTTGGGGAGAATATGTGAGGATTTCTGCCCCATTTCAGAATGGAAGGCTCTTCTGTGTTTAGTTTTGATTTTCTCCGTTTTCCAAATCTCCTACAGTGTTGATTATATTAGTCCAAAACATAGTCACTGTTCACCTTTTCTCCAGGCTCCATGTGATTCCCAATATACCCAAAGGCTACATTAGCTTCAAGTCATCTTGAGGTCCCAAACATCCTTTTCTTCCCACTCACTCTCATTTATTTCAGACTATGAAGAGAGAGCCATCCCCATTAACTCATGTGAACCAAAAAAACACAATTGTTCTGTAACCTTGCCCCATTTATAACACGAGCAAGCATCTATTGGATCAGCCCTATTCTTAGATCTTTACAGACATAACTCATTTAACGCTCACCACGATCCTGGGAGGCAGGCACTCTCATGATCCCCATTATAAAGATGAGGAAGCCAAGGCACAGAAAGGTATGGACATGTCCTAGGACCCACAGTCAGTAAACGTTGTTAGGGACCAAGAAGTTCCACAATGACTGGGTTCCTGAAGACCTGCTTAGAAGTCACTTTGGGTCACACCCAGTACTGAGTCCCGTACTCTTCCAGGTTCCAATGCATGGCGCTTGGGCTGCTCAAGAGGAGACCATGACTTTCCCACCTGCCAGCTGCTGTCCACTGTCCTTTCTCAGCTCTCAAAGGGCCTGGTCTAGCCTCACCCCCATGCCCCAGTCTGCTATGCTATTTCTAATACATTGTGTTGGGAAATCAAACCACTTGGCAACGGCATTCTGAATTTCCTAAAAGGCATAATCAGTGTCTATTAGCTTCATTTCTCTCTGACTTGTAGTTCCATCTTGAAAAACTAAATTAGAAATCATGGCAGAGAGATGCAGTGGGAGTTTGGGGGCACTCCACGGTCTGGAAAGGTCGTGGACTTGAGCAAAGCCTTGGCGGCAGCTGCAATCAGTCACCTGAGATTTTCCCCACTCCTTCCAGGCGTTTAGATTCTAGGCAGTTACCAGGGGCAGGCCTGCGGGATCATCGAGGTGTTTGCCCACAGAATCTCATATTCACTCACTTGCCCACAGGCAGAAAGGACTGCGCCCTGCCTTTGCCAGGGAACATGCCTGGAGTCACATAAAATTGGCATCCGTAAAATTGAAAATTGGCATCCATAAAATTTTATGAAACCATAAAATTGGTTTCTTTGACGGAAGCAATTTTAAAATGTTTACCCAGAGAGTCCCCAGACTCAGGAAGCATTTCCATGTGGCTCAGGACTCCATTTCCCCTCAAAAGCTGCTCAATGAGAGTCCAATCCAACCTGCACGTTCGCTTTCCTTCACTGAAGAGGCTCGACTCCTCTGCTTACAAGAAGTGAGCGTCTGCCCCGAGCCGACTATACCCTTACCTGGTACACTTACATGCGCATCAGAGCAAACACTTCTGAGATGGGACTAGGCCGCCAGCATGGCCTCATTTCTATGGCATGTTGACTTGGGGAAGGGAAGAGTGGGAGAAACAGAGCCCTGAACCAGGGGGCGTGAGACCCATAGTTCTTCTAATCTCTCTTTTGACAAACCACTCTGTGTCCTTGAGCAAATCACTTAATCTCTGTCTCAGTTTCCTAATACCACCTGCCCTACCTTTATCCGTGACCTGCTGGATTAAAGAAGTTTGGCCTTTGGAAGCATTATGAAACACTACCTACCCCCAACAAGCTACGACAAATGTTCTCTTGGTCCTTCCCTGTATTTGTGGCCCGAGTCACCGAGAGTCTGTACTTACACTGACCGCTAAGCCATAAGGATGGGTCATTCACTTCAGAAGCAGGAGCTGAAGGGGCTTGTATTTAAAACTAGAAAACCATGATCAGGAAATAAGTCCCTTCTGGGGCTGGTGGAATAAGGTAACCCCTCCTTCACCCCCACCCCCTGCCCCCTGTTTCTTGGCCATTGCCTCTCTCGGAGATAAAAGAATGCTACTAGCGTCTCTATGGGGTACCACCAGCAGGTCAGAGCATCCACACTCCGAGCCACTAACCCCTGCAAAAAAGACTCCCTTAACCCCACAACCTCCCTCCCTGACTGACACGCTGAAGGTAATAAGCCAAAGGTACTCTCACCCTCAGTAGACTTTTTCAGTACCCACTTAAAAGTTAGTTCTCCAACCTTAAGGATCTTTAAAGACTCCAAATATCAAGCTGCTAGACACTAGACAAACGCTGTAGCTCATCAAAGTTCTAATGGGCCACCTCCACCTGCCCTTTTGGTAAGAAGTTTTGGTAAGAACTTTTTGGTCCCCCCTCATCAGAGATTTGGGTTTTTGATTTTTTCAGTGTAAATTCCTTTGGTTTTTTTTTTTTTTTTTTTTGTAATTTTATTTATTTATTTATTTGGCTGCACCACACAGCATGTGGGATCTTAGTTCCCTGACCAGGAATTGAACCCGTGCCCCCTGCAGTGGAAGTGCACAGACCTAACCACTGGACTGCCAGGGAATTCCTGTTGTAATTAAATGAACACTCTCAATCTTAAGTGGCAGACAGTCATCACATTTTCCAGAAGGAGAAATAGAAACAGCAGGGAGTTAAGTCACTTTGCCCAGAGTTTGCTGTTTTTCACAGCCTCAGCAATGAGGAGCTTTGCTTCGGTGACTCAAGACAAAACATATGTCCGAGGCTCTGAATCCAGAATTATTGGAAATCTGGAGGGGGAGCCAGCTGAGGTCCTCACTCAGCTGAACCTGGCCATGTCAGTAAATGCCTCTAGGCTGCAGTTTTCCCATCTGTGAACTCTGGGCTAATGGAGAAACCAAAAGAGGCTGAGGCTTTGGCCAATCCACAAAGACTACACTACACCTCAAGGGATGAAATGCAACTTCTAAGAGTCACAAAAAGCAGGCAAAGCTAAGTGAAGATGCTTCTTTCTCTCTCCTCTCTAGAATTCACATCTTCCCACAAATAAAGCCCCTTAAAACTCATAATACTCTACAATGTTCCTGACTATGGGGATTGACAGCAACCCGTCCCAAGTTCCCAGAGAGGCATGTTTCTGGGCAATGAGCCCTGCACAACTACCTCCAGCCTTGTTATCCTTGGGTCCACTGACAACTCTTCAAAAAATTGCCAGCTTCCTACCAGCCAAAGGGCTGAAACAGAGGCCACAGATTACAGGCGAGAATGGTCCAACAGGCAAAATTTAACCAATGCTCCCAGAAGCTTTTGGGCACCGGTGGCCGAGAAAATTGGGTGAGGATATTGGGGCGTGGTTGGAACGTTTTCCCTAGTGTGGGCAGCCAGAGAGTGTAAGGAGTACAGTACTGGTGAGACCGCTGCCTCTTCCCTAACACACTCCCACCTAATGGTAGGACTGGTTCTTCCTAAAAGATGCAGTACCGATCCTTGAGAATGTCAGGTGCGCCCCCGGCTGACGTCTGCAAAGGTGTGGTCAATATGCAAAGCCTCCAGACGTTATTTTGATATTTAAAAAATGTTAGGAGCCACCAGCAGCCAGTTAAGAATGAACTCTTAGGAGTATATGAGGGTGTATGAGTATGAACTAGAGTGCATTAGAGAGCTGGAGTCTCCCACTGAGCACTCGGCGAGGTGTTGGCTGGCGGGGAAGGGAGGACGTTACCTGGCCAGGTCGAGGAATGAGTCCACTGTCTCTTTGGGGACCGGTGGGGGCACCGTCTCCTCCAGACCCAGGTCGCTGGACTGAAGGGTCTGCGCGCCAGATCCAGGCTTGATGATGAACGCCAAAGCGACTGCGAGAGCCGAGGCGCCTAGTGTGGTGAGGCCGAAGTAGGCTATGGCGATGCCGCCCAGGCGCCCGAGAGAGCTGGCATCAAGGGAGGCGGCGCCCGATACCAGGCTGCAGACCACCAGCGGCAGGATGATCATGCGCAGCATGCGGAGCAGCATCTCTCCAGGAAAGGCCAGGTAGGTGACCTGTGTGCGGTTCAGCTTGAGCCCGCGCAGCGCCGCGCCCAGGCCGGCGCCCGCCACCACTCCGGACACTGTGAGCAGCACCAGCGCGTGGCGCCGTAGGAAGCCAGCGCAGCGCCGCGCGCGTCCGGCCGTGCTCCCCCGCGCGCCAGGCCCCGCTGCAGGCCCCGCCTGGGCGCTGTCTAGGTAGCCGTTGGTCTCGCTGCTCTTCTCCATGGCGCTACCCGCGGCTCCGAGCTGGAGGAGGCGGGGGACTGGGGCTCCGGGAAAATACGCGGCTCTCAATGAATGGATCAGGCGGAGCTGCCGAGGTCCGCAAGCTGTGCCTAGCGGGTTCTGGGAGCTAGCCCGCGGGGCTCTCCCGGTCTTGGCCCTGGAGCAGGTGCGGGGAGGGCCAGGAGAGACGCGGGAGAGCGGGCTGGAGCCCCGGGGTGACTGGATCGCGCCGCGCCCAGTCCTGCACGGCGGCTACGGTCCGAAGATGATGTAATGAGGGAGCTCGCAGTTGCGGAGGAGAGGGGGAGCTCTGAGAGACCTGAGCCGGCCCCCTTCACACCCACCGCCCCGCCCCCTCGGCTCCGGCCAATCAGCGCCCGAGAGTCTCCTCCGCGAGCCCCTCGCCCGGCTCCTGGCCACCGGCGCGGGGGGAGGGGCGGCCCGGCCCGGGACGCCTACTGAGGCCGCTGGGGTGCGGGTGTAGCCGGCCAGTCCCGGCGCCCGCAGCCTAGGAGGCCCCGCTAACCGAGGCCCGCTCCCGGCGACCGCGGGGGTGACGGGGTCTGAGGGACAGCCAGGGCTCGTTGGTACCTGCCGGGGCCGCTTGGGCCGGCCGGGGTCTGGGCCCTCGGGGTCAGAGGGTCGGGGAGAATGTGGAACGCGGTGACGTTCCTTGTCCTGGGGGTTGGGGGAGGGGAGGGGTTGCCAACAAGGTTGGTGCTGTCGCTCCCGCGCAGCCCGTTTTCCGCCGGAGAGCCCGCCCGCCTCTCCTAGGAAGGGTTCTCGCGTGAGGGGATCCTGGGCGCGCTCCTAGGCGCGTGGCTTGGGGCCGCCGGGATAGGCCCTGGGTCGCCAGGCAGCTGTCTGCGGTATGTGAGCTGAAGACCAAAACTCTTCGAGAAGAAACAGAGCTCTTACCACCACCACTTCCAGTCGCGTTTCTACCTTGTAACCTCAGCTGAAACACACAAGCCACTGGGTTTTAACCTTTTCCATACCCTGGGCCCCAGCCATCGTATGAAAATAGTGCAGACAGCGGTTTACCCAGGCTGAACAGACGGTTCCTTAGAAAATTCCCTGACGGTCCAGTGGTTAGGACTCCGAGCTTTCACTGCTGAGGGCTTGGGGTTTGGTCGGGGAGCTAAGATCCCACAAGCCGCGTGTCTTGGCCAAAAAAAGAAAAAAAAAAAGTTCCTTAATGTTCACATTAGATTCGTTTACTTTTTATTTCAAATTTTATTTATTTTAACATCTGCTCTGGTCACAGCAGATATGAGAGAAACCTCTGCAGAGTCGTTTTACTGTCACATTTATTAGATTTTCATATTTTTTTATTCAGCTTTTGAAAGGAATTGTTCTTTTAAGACTTTTGTGAAAGGGAAGCCTTCTTATGTGTGGCCAACCTGAATTAAGGAGGAAGACAATTTACTATAGATCTCTTGCTGAAAAGGAGTCATCTTAAAACATGCCAGCACAGATATTTATGCAAATCAATACGCCTTAGTAAAGAACTTTAAGGAGATGTCCACATTTTGAGACAGGATTTCATGGCTTGAAGCCAGCCAGCCAGCTGCTGACTGGAGTTTGTAGGGTTTTTTTTGAGGGACGGGGGTACAAATCAGGTGAAGAGCTTACATATTTTTATCTGGTTTTGCAGAGCAAAAGTTTATTTCTGTGTGCACTGAAGAAAGAGGAATTTCTACAGACACACTCTCTGTTTTGCCAACCAGCCCCTCCCTTCATTTTGACTACCATTTTTATGCAAAGGATTTGCCATTTCCAACTGCCTGCTTTACATCTCCACCTGGGTATCCTGCAGGCATCCCAACTCAAGAATGTGCAAGACTGAATTCCTGGGGGCCTTCCTCATGCCTGCTCATCCTGCTGATTCCCCTATTTTTGTTACCAGCATCATTGACTTCCCAGTCAACTCTGCTTGAAACCTCAGAATGACCTTTGATTCTTCCTGGTGTCTCCTCTCACCTGACCAATTCCCAAGTCCCACAGACACTCCTTGCGCAATATTTATCCCATACTCCCCTCCCATCCGTTCCCAAAGCTTCCATACTGGCTCAGTTCTTATTTCCACACTTCTTACCTCAACTATCAAGATCTTCCCACCTCCAGTGCACATCCTATATTTTGCCTTGCCCCAGGCCTATCTTCCTAACGAATAATATGCTTGTTAGGATTAGGTTGGGCTTCCATCCAGCAGGAAAAAAAAAAAAGGCGCAATGCCTTCTCCCTTTGAGAACACTTCTTAAAAGTGGCACACACTATTTCCTTTCTATTTCATTCACCAGAATTCAGTCACAAGACCACACCTAGCTGCAAGAGAAGTTAGGAAAGCTAATCTTAATTTGCACAGGCATGAACCTGGTTAAAAACTGGGGCTTCTGTTACCACAGAAGTAGGAAAGAATGATATTGGAGGACAGCTCCTTCAGATCACTTCTTTTTTAAAAAATTAATTAATTAATTAATTAGTTTTTGGCTGTGTTGGGTCTTTGTTGATTGGCTCGGGCTTTCTTTAGTTGCCGTAGCGGGGGCTACTGTTTGTTGCGGTACACGGGCTTCTCATTGCGGTGGCTTCTCTTGTTGCGGAGCTCGGGCTCTAGGTGCATGGGCTTCAGTAGTTGTGGCTCGCAGCCTTTAGTAGTTGTGCCTCGCAGGCTCTAGAGCGCAGGCTCAGTAGTTGCGGCGCACGGGCTTAGTTGCTCTGCGGCATGTGGGATCTTCCAGCACCAGGGCTCGAACCTGTGTCCCCTGCACTGGCAAGAGGATTCTCAACCACTGCACCACCAGGGAAGCCCCAGATTACTTCTTGTTCAAAAGTTCTCAGGGTTCCCACTGAACTAAAAATATGCTCTTCAACCTGGCATTCAAGATTTACCACGATCAGCTCACTCTCCAGCCTTGTGCCCTCTATACATGCAACAAAAATGAGACTGTGCTGCTTCCACATTTTCTGGCCTCTGCATCCAGTTCCAGTTCAGATACTACTTCTCTCCCAAAGCCTTTCTTAACGCCTCTTTGCTCTAACTCTGCCTGCTGCCCATAGCTTTTTGGGCTGGTCCCACACACTTCACAGCTGAGTTAATAGTTAACCCTCAACTGGGAGTAGGGAACTCCCTGCACTGTTGGCACTTTCATTGGCTATAAGTATGGTGCTGAGTGGGAGAGCAGTATTTGGAAGTGCCTTATGCCATGCCAGATGCATCTGTCATTGAATTAGCAAAACCTCTCCTTAAGGAGGAGCTGGTCTCTTGGGACTTCTTTCAGGGACTGGCTGCCCTGTAGCAGTTCCGCCTACATATGAGGCAAACCAAAAAACAGGTGTCTGCTCCTGGCCTCCCCAACAGCTGGTAAAGGGTTTCATTTTCTGCCTTCTTTTTCTCTTTCTTTTTTTTAATCCCTCTCCTTTTGTTCTTCTATTACATTTTCTTTGTCTTTTCATAATTTTACATGCCTCCTGCTTGTAAGGATTTAGTATCAATAAATCATATAAACTGATAAATAATATTTATATTATTAATAGAAACATTACTTATAACATAATAAATAAAATAAATAATTATTGATTCCTATATTTAGACACCTTCCCCCACTACACTCACAAGTGTTCTCTCTGGGTTCTAGATGTATAAGTACCAAATTACAGAAATACCTTGAAACTGGGCCAGTCTGACACCACTCACTATCACCACCACCATCATCTGATGCTCGACTCTCTCAATAGGCTGCAGTACTGTTCAGCGAGTATCTCCTTTCTTCTTCCTCCCATTTGGATGGGAGTGTACTTACCCCTTTGACTTTGAGCTTGACCATGTGACCTACCTGGCCAATAAAATAAGCAGAGGAGTAAAATGTTTTTGCAGAGTTGCCCTTGGATTCCTGAATATCCATCACCCAGCGTGCCCCAGGTAGATGCTCCACCTTCATCCTGGCACCAGAACAAAGAGGAGTGTGTCTCAAACCAGCCCACAGAGGTTTGCCTTGCCCAGCCCCCTCACAGCCAAAAGGAGAGCACCCCAGACAATGCACAGCCCCATGAGTCAGAAAAATAAATACTGTTGTTGAAACCCACTGAGTTTTGGAGTCATGCATTATTGTGGCAATAGCCAAGTAATACAAGTCCTCTCTTCAACATCTATTCCAGTTATCTATTACCATAACAAACCACTCCAAATGTTGTGGCATAAAAAAACAACCAGTTTCTTATGATGATATATATATCTTAAATTTAATTAATTAATTAATTATTTTGGGGTGTATTGGGTCTTCATTGCTACGTGCGGGCTTTCTCTAGTTGCGGTGAGCGGGGCCTACCTACTCTTTGTTGCGGTGCGCGGGCTTCTCGTTGCAGTGTCTTCTCTTGTTGCGGAGCACGGGCTCTAGGTGCGCGAGCTTCAGTAGTTGTGGCTCGCGGTCTCTAGAGCGCAGGCTCAGTGGTTGTGGCGCATGGGCTTAGTTGCTCTGCAGCATGTGGGATCTTCCTGGACCAGGGCTTGAGCCCATGTCCCCTGCATTGGCAGGTGGATCCCTAACCACTGTGCCACCAGGGAAGCCCTGTGATCATAATTTTGTAGGCCAGAAATTCAGAGAGAACACAGCAGAGGTTTTCATCTCTGCTGCATGCTGCCTGCAGCCTCAGCTGGGGTGGCTTAATGCCTGAAGATACCTGGGATGGCTCAACTGGGGCCATATTCACTGTGATCCTTGGTTCTTTTACCCATTGCAACTAATGAGGCTGGACTGTCCAAAATGACTCATTCACACTCCTGGCACCTAGGCTAGTGTGGTTAGAACAGCTGGGGCTGGCTGGATATCTCATTCATCGTGAAGAAGAATCAGTTTCCCTCATTAAAGCAATGATACGGATTTTTTACTTATGCGGTGATAAGAATGGTGTTTTTCCTACCTTGTCAAAGTGACTGTTTATCACTCCCAATATACTCGTGTATCGATGGATATTATACATGAAACCGAACAGGACCCTGTGAGGCTCCTGGGCAAAAAAGCCTTTCTGTGTCCCCCATTTCTTGATAACAGGAAATAGGCTTCCTTCAGCCTCCATGACCTTCCCTGCGTTCCAACGGGCAGGTTTAAACAGTTGCTAATTAGGGAAGGGAGGGGATGTGGAGACAAGGGAGGAATAGTCAAGAAACTATAGAGTAGCCTTGGGGCAGGGTCCCGGTTCCCCCTCAATGGATATACATAACAATATCTTTGAGCTGCTTTACAGATACTGAAACCTCCACCAGGTGGGAAAAGTTAACAGTATGCTGCCCCCAAGCAGGTAGACTCCAGACCGGCTGGAACCAGAAGGTTGATGTTGGCTGACTCCCACTTACCTCACCACCAACCAATCAGAATGTCCACGAGCTGATCATGCCCTCTTTGAGCCATTACTATAAAACTCCTCACTACCCCCTCCAGCTCAGGACTCACAGTTTTGAGGGCATTAGCCTGCTGCGGCCCCCTTTGCCTGGCAAAGTAATAAACCTATTCTTTTCTACTTCACCAAAAACTCTGTCTCCAAGATTTAACTCAGTGTCGGGGTACAGAGGCTGGATTCGGCATCATACACACATGCTGGCTTCTTCTGGTAAAGAGATTATCTCTGTTCTAACTTTATATCTGATGACAGTTTCGTATTTTCCACATTATTTCACTAGAATTGCTAGTGGCATCAAGCATCTGGCAGGAATTATTTTCCGCCAATGAATGGGCTGAAAAAGGAAAATTGTATCCTTCATCACAGGCAAATTTGGGTTCTAGAGTGCTTCTTTACCTTGACTAAGAGACACCAGATATTTTAACTAATGACTATATTAAAAAGGTTAAACTTCAGCTTAACTCTTAAACACAGCTTTGCAGAAAATGCAATGTGATTTTCAAAAAAAGAATATTTGCTTTTCACATAGATTACCTAGCAGAGCAAGCAAGGTGAAATTCCAAAATAATAAACAGGTTCTTTTTCTCCCATGATGGACAACTTAGTTCAAAGTGGCATACTGGAATCAAAGTGTGGGTGACTTTACAATCTGTAATCCTCTGGGCTCCCCTCCATATCATCTCTACCCACCAAAAAGAAAAAATAAAAAAGGGGCCATAAAGATGTCACTAGAACCAAAAGGTCAGGCACAGACTCAGATAAACAATTTGAGTCAACACTAAAAGGGAATTTGGTCAGAGTGGGAGTAAAAGGCAGGGTGAGGCAGAAATAAGATGCCTGTTTCTATGGTTTTAGAGAAAAGCTAAGGCTCTGTGAAGGACATTTTCTACTGAGAGAATTGGTCAAGTAGGAGCATTGAAAGAGATGAGTCAAAAGATAGGAAGAAAAGTTCTTTTGCTGTCTGTTTTGTGGGCAAGGGTTCTAAGCATAGAGGTTTATTTCAATGACACAACCAGAGGCTTACTGAGTTGCTTACTAAGAGTAAATCACCCTGAAAGGCCCTTAGAATGAAATACAAAAAAAGGGAGTACGGACTACTTAGGGAGCTGACTAAAATGCATATTCCTGAGCCCAGAGGAGGGCTTAGAAATCTGCATTTCAACAAGCCAATCCTTCCCTCCCACATCCCCCTACCCCCACCCCAGATTATTCAATTCAAAAGTATTTATGAGGTCATTGAATTAACAGAATTTGGAATTAAAGAGAAGTCCAAGATAAAGTCTAGGACTGGGCCTTCAAAACCTGCCACTCAAGTTCTTCTGAGTATAATGTTAAGGGGTAAGAAGCAGGTGGGATTAGAGGGGAGGGGCAATGGTTAGGGTACAATTAGAATGAGTTATAGTTCTCCCAGCAGTTTATTACTCCTGGCACAAGAATTCCCTGAAATCTGTTTGGGAAAACAGCCATAGACAGGTGAAAAGATAATTAACCTTCCAGGTAGAACTCAGTGATCCCCAAACGTGACTCTCATCAGAGTCATCAGAAAGAGTTTTAAAAGGATAGATTCCTGGGCTCCAACCCTGGAAATTCTGTTTTTGTAGCTCTAGGGTAAGACCCAGGCATCTATTTTTTATTCTTCCTGTTAATAGATTAATGAGATATAACAACTAAATGCAATGGGATCTGGATTAAAAGATAATTTTCAGACAGGCAAATTTCATGTAAACTGTATGTTGAACTTAATGTTGAGTTTGTCAGGTGTGACAACAGTGTTCTCAATACTAGGACAATGGCCTCCTTCTTGGGAAAGGATGGAGAATTATTTAGGGGTGAAGTGCCAGGGTGCCTGCCCACCACTCTTGGATGGCTTGGTAGAGGGGAAACGTGTATATAAAGAGAGAATGTATCGATAGTATGGGAGGCAAGAGGTTAACAGCTGGTAAAACTAGGTGAGGAGCATATGGGTGCTCACTGTTTTGTTCCTGAAACTTTTCTGTAGGCTCAAATTTTTTTCAAATTTACGAAACGTTAATTTTTTTTTTTTTTTGCAAGAGAGAATAAACAACGGAAAGGAAAGCCTCCATCCTTCACTTTGTTGCACAACAGATTGAGCAACCTTAGTAGGAAGGCATGGGTTACAGGGGCTTGGAGCAGAGAGGTCACTGTGGTCTAGCACTGTGGTTCTCCACTCATTCTCTGCTGCTACCTACATGACAAGTGATGCTTATACACAATGCCCACAGCCACAGGTGCACCTCGACTTTGATGTAGTTCCTGGCTACCAACTTGTAACACAACAGATTCTCCTACTTAAGAAAGAATGCAAGTAAGTGATATTATCCTAGGGATAATTTTGAATTACTCAAATTTATTTTAAAAATAATGTCTGAACTTCTCTACTTTTGTGTGGAAGGTGTTTGAAAATTCAATAAATCGCTCTGAAGTACAAAGAAAATGTAGGTTATTTGCTATCTATAACTGATCTAATCTTTGTCATGGGCAGTCACAGCATTGGGTCATTGCAGGGAGGAGAAAATGGCTTTAACTTGACAATGAATGTAATGGAAATCTTAACCAGTTTAAATAGCCTTGTGTGGATAACTCAGAGTCTTTTGGTAAATACTCAGAAATTTCAGGCTTCCTTTCTACCAGTAAGTGACTCTACCATGATGTGATTATTTTAAGAGGGGTTACAATTTAAAAAAAAAAACTGAGGAGTGGTACTTCATTAATAAGAAAAATGCATGGACACTGTGGTAGATTACAAAAATAGTCCCATTCTTCACCTCTCCTTGTATCCCGACCCTTTGTCACGTTACTTTTCAGGGTCGTACAACTCCATCTGGGCTCAACTACATGATTTTCTTTAACCAGTGGGTATAGCTGACCCTAGGCAAGCACAAATTTGAAATAGCTTTATACATTGGGCTTTTCTCTTGTGCCTGTGCCCTTGCCATCAGAACACACCTGGGCTAGCCTGCTGGAGGATGAGAGATGTGTGGAGTCCAGCTGAGTCCCAAGTCATCATAGGGGAGGTCATCCTAGATCAACTACCAGCCCGTCAACCCCGGATATGGGAGCAAGCCCAGCCAAGGTCAGCAGAGCTGTCTGGTTAGCAGCCCTGAACCCTGCCCCCAGAAGCACAAACAATAAACTCCTACTGTTGTGTGCCATGGGGATTTTGTGGTTCTTTGTTACTATGTTACTCCAAGTCCTCTAAGAAGCATATGCCAAGCTAGGATAAAATGTACAAGGGTTTTATTGTGGAGACACTTCTAGAGGGAGCGGAACTAGCAGAGCTGTCAGAGGGCAATGCAAGTCTGACCCCAAGTGAAGGAAAGAGGGAAGGAAGGTTGGGTGGAAACATCCTAGCCTGTCGCACAGCCAAGAAAGGTCAGCAAGGCTACCAGGGAACCTCAAGGCAAAGTCAGCTGTCAGAGGAGTCTCAAGCCTTCCAGGAACAGGTTGGCCTTAGTATCCCACTGTGCCCAGCCATTGGCTGGAGAAACCTGTGGGACACATGGCCTTGGCATAAACTTGGCAGT